TGTGTGTTTGTGTGTGTGCATGCATGCTTGTGTGCTCATATGTGTTTTAAAATGTGCTGTTACTATAATTGTTTTGAAAAGTACTGCTGTATTTTATTTTTCATGAATCTTAGACTTAATTTAAGTAACAACTCCTGTTAATACAAAGACTTAATCTAGAAAATTTCTGTTTGAAGATGCGTCAGATGATGCTGCAAATGGATCAGTGGACCATGAAGAAAAGAATGCTGAAACCAGTTTAGTCCATTATCCAGATAATCTGAATCTGAAGGATATTTTTTATTATATTCTTGCACCTACTTTGTGCTACGAATTGAACTTTCCTAGAACGAACAGGATTCGTAAGAGGTAATATCACACATTATGTTTGCATGAAGAGGCTCTTATTTTATTAAGAACGCCTTCGAAATTCACATAAAGTTAAAGTGTTTGTTTTGAGGATGAAGGGAGAGAACATGAAGTATTTATGGTGAGTCAGTCTTGCCATTTTATGAATAAATTTTGGTGTTTTTGGTGCTCAGCATATGATGATATATGGTGTAAGGCCACAGTTCCTGCCTGTGCTGTGTCACGAGGAACACCTTTGGAATTTCAGTGTACCTTTCCACCGTCACTTAATGTTTTCATATATTTTGAAATATGCGCATAAATGTTCTATGAAGAAAAGTATTTTCATTTACAGGTTTTTAGTGAAACGAATGGTAGAAGTGGTGGTTGGATTTCAAGTGATGATGTGCCTATTTCAACAGTGGATTATTCCATCAGTAAAAAACTCACTCATACCTTTCTCGGTTAGTATAAAGACAAATACTCTTTTACTGTACATCATCTGTTTGATTATGAGGCTGTTGTTAATAGCGAGGAAGACACTTGTTTCTGACAGTCGTGATATATATTACTTTATTTGGTTATGTATCTGTTTCAGAACATGGATGTAGCAAAAGCAACAGAGAGACTACTGAAACTTGCCGTAAGTTATTTAACTTTATTTTTTTCTGGTGTCACTATGTTCGTATTCTTCGTAACTCCGACGTACTTACTTTTATTGCAGATACCAAACCATTTAGTTTGGTTAATCTTCTTCTATTTGATGTTTCACTCATTTCTAAACTTGATTGGTGAGATGTTGCATTTTGCTGATCGAAATTTCTACTGTGATTGGTGGAATGCCAATAATATTGATACATTTTGGAGATCATGGAACATGCCTGTTCACCGTTGGGCGTTAAGGTAAGAAAATTGTTGCTGAATATTTGTTTTTAGTTTGATGGTTTTCCTTTGGCTACACAATTAATTTAATATTAATGTTGATTTGTAATACTGATTTCAGACATTTATATATACCGCTGGTTGAAATGGGTTATTCCAGGACCGCAGCAGGTGTAGCTGTTTTCTTTGTTAGTGCATTCTTTCACGAGTACCTCGTCAGTGTGCCCCTCAGAACCTTCAAAACATGGGCATTCATGGGAATGATGGGGCAGGTAAGTTGTTCTTTTAATGTACGTGTGTAGTATAATTACTAGAGATGTGTGTCCAGTAAAAGTGCTATGTTTTCTGTTCACTGAAGAAAATGTGTCCATATACACAGGTACCAACACGAACGTAAAAAAGCTTGAACATTCTGCTGAAGGTTAATAGGTGAGAGGGGGGGTTATACTACCCTTTCAAAAATTTGGGGTCCTGGCATGCAAACAAATCAGACATTTTTGTAATTTTTGTTAATGTGAATATCATTTTTAGTTTTGCTAATTTTACGTACATCGGTGGATTATTAGTTTAACTGTCATCAGTTCCGCGCTGTACGTATTGAAACGTGTTTTTCATCTGGCACCATATTTTGAGCGTAGAAAGTGTAGGCCTGACTGACACCTCAACACTCGTAAGGTCAGACTTTCAGATTTTCGCCAGTTACTGTACAGTTGAAAGGAACTTCATTGTGGTTCAGTGGATTTTCATTTCTGTTGCTGTTGGA